CAACAATGATAAATCACTTCGGTTAACTTACGCTATTCCGATGTTCAACAAGGAAACAGGCCTTTACTAATTGCTCACGATTTCAGAGTAAAGTCGCGAACTTCTTTCCTTCGCAATATCGCCATAGAAGTTAGTTTTACCCTTGTCAGCATCCATCGTTACAGAGGCGTCAGTCTTAAGCTAGCAGCAGATTTCAGCCTTATTTATTATCTCGAGGTGAAACGCGAAAACTACTGCAAAAGTGAATTTCATGGGCTGGATCGAAAAATCAGTCCGGAATAGCGGCCAAAAATATCAAAGTACTCTTACTAAGGATGAATTATTGCCATGAAAACAAAGTTCTGCAAACGAGGATAAGTCTTCGGAAAGCGACTATTGACAAACAAAAGGTCTGTTACTTGATATTTTTGTTGGATATACGCCCCGTCACGCCCTCAGTGTCTACTCGATTCACCGATCCAGTGCACAACAAAAATTGCAACAGTTTTTAGCAAGGTGTGACTCGCGACGTTAACGCCCACACTTCAAAAGATTAGCAAAGCAGAGTTAATAAGTGCTGCCATGCGGACAAGTATCCATGCAGCCTTCGCTTCACCTCGAGTCCTTACTACATCTTCCCTCCTACCACCTGTGTGTGGGAGATAAGGGGCTACACGGGTAGAGCTAGTTGCATCCCTGCTTAGCCGGACGAGTATATAGTCACACAGTCATATAATACGATAGATATTATATATGCTATGACCACTGGTTGCGTCAACGCAAGTCTAGGTCTGTAAGCCTATGCATGCACTTATGCTCAATTATAATAAGGCTGTTGCTCGCTGCGACGGTACCGTACGCCCGAAATTTTTTCTCTTCACTCACTGGTAGTGATGCAGCCCGCCATGCTATGGCCGAATAATAACTACGTTTGCTTTTGGTACGATATTATATATACGATTTTATAGCAGATAATATACGAATAACGCCTACCCTAACCTAACCTAACCCTTAACGCCTAACCTAACCCTAACGCTAAACCCTAAGCCTAACTCTATTGAAATTAATCAAATTTAATTTTTAATTGTTGTAATAATTTTAATTAATAAAAGATTGTTTTATTTTTTATTTAAGAAATGTGTAAATAAATAATGTTAATATTTGACGTTAATTGGAAAAAAGAATGTTAAGCAGATAAAGATAGCAAAAATAGCAGAAAACAGGAAATAATTAGAAAAGGCGATGGGGATTTGCGATCCCGCGACGCATTCATTACTTGGGCAGCGCTCTAACCAAGTTCGCTGCCTGCACATATTGCAAATTAAATACTTTGATGTGGCTATGTATATCGCAGCAACAAACAAGCTACCAATCAGCGTCAGTTACCGTCAGTACCGTGACTTTAAGAGAAAATATGAATCGGCGACTGGGCTACGTCGGGAAGCCAACAGCCTTACTAAAATTTTATCAAATGTTTAGGTCTACCAATGCAATTTAAAACATTTTCGAACAACCCACCGTCTTGGCATCACTATCAAGAAGAGGCAAAAAGATAATACGTAGGCTAGCTGGATCCATACCACTACTACGACAAGATTGTACCTATAACAACAATAATGACGATTATTAGAGTCTCTCATCGCGCGCGAGACCAGTGATCACCGCTAGGCCTATTCAGTATTCTAATTTCTTTATTCATGAATAACGTAAATAAAAAAGTAGCAAGCAATGCCCGCTATCTTCCATCGGCCGCACGCGGTTTTCTACGATTACTTAAGACACGTACGGTAGTTTACCCCTATGGCTAGTCGGTTTGATTCTTCTCTTATATCTGTTTTCCTCACAGCATCTGAAAACATCGGCTACATTATTTCCGAACAAAACTTCGGCAGGCTGCTTGCTCGTCACTTAGATGCGCGCATCAACGTAGGGCGGCGTTGGCAATGACAACGCGCCTAGTAGCCAGCAACGAGATGTCGCTGCGTACTCAATCCAACTGAAAAATAGATTGACGCAGAAAGTAAACATTAACGACCCATAGTCAGTTGTATATAATAAATTAATAAGTATAATAGTTAATAGTAATTGTACTAATAGTAGCTATTATACAACTCTATGTACGACCCGTTTTGTGATATATTCCCTTGCGTAATTATCCAATTTTTCATGAATTCAAAATTTTTATTCGTATTGGCAATGTATTGTATCTATGAATGGATAATTGCAAATAAATAAATAAGCAAAAGTAAACAAAATAAACGAGCTCGGAACATATACAAGGAACAATTTCTATCCGTCGCATGTGTTGTCAAATTCTGTTTAGCCCCACAATTTTCGAAAGATGGCAGGCTACGACATCGACGGCGATTTGAAGACAGCTGATTAGCGGTTGTGTGTTTACAAAGGTTATCCTGTTTAATACTTAATAACGAACATACACGCACAGAAAAACAATAACATCTTCAACTGGCACAACGCATTACATAAAGAAAACGAGCATAGCCGTATGACGAACTTCCATGAAAATCGACTAGTAACGAAAGTAGGAATAAATCAAGATTTTTTTGGCCTCGGGCTCTCAGTTTACTGAGGCCAGCGAGCTATGGTAAGAACTTAGTTGATATCCTTGCCAGCCCTTACACGATTAGTCAATTATGAACGCAGTATTGCTACTTAGACTAGGCATGAGCGCTTGACTTCACCTGTGCTGCGGGCTATATCATCGCAGTGACGCACGACCTTAATGTTCATAAGGTGTCAGACCGGCCACTGCTGACTGTTGAAGTCCGTTTGCTGTCTGTAAAGACTGTTGGCTTGAAAATGACTACGGTAAAGAAGATCATAGAATGTGTGCCGAATTTCTCGGAGGGAAAAGAATCAAGAGGTAAGACTGAACGCGAATGCTTCCACGTGGCGGAACATGCATATATGACTGGTAGATTTACAGCCAATTTTATGCGCTAAGGGGACAATAATTAATTACTACTTATGGTATATATAGATCATGACTGAAGGTTCTGTTGATTTCTAGTGCAGAGCTGAGAGCAGAGAGGGTCTGTCCCCCGGGTACTGCCGGAACGTACTCTGGGTACGGTCGGTATACCGGAACGTACCACTGGTACTATCAAATATGCTGCGACCGCTACCTCGCCTACTCCACTAAACGAGTCTAGGAATCGCCTACGCCTACTTCCTAGCCCTAACCCTAACTCTAACGCATATCAGATAGTTACCAGGGTACGTTCGCGGTATACCGACCGCTACCCAGGGTACGTTCCGGCAGTACCCTGGGGGACATAGACCCCATGAGCGCTAGTGCAACCTGCTAAATGGCGGATAGGCTGGGATAAGCCCAGAGTTTATTTCCGGTTGGCCTACTCCATTTCGCCCTACGACAAAATTCCTATTTCGCCTAGCAGCAAAATGGCCAGTTGGGCCTACACCCATTTCGCCTATTCCAAATTCGTCTACGCTCAAAATCGACCCCATTCCCATTTCGTCTACGATCGGTTTGTTCACTAAATAATCATTTAGTAAATAATAAAGTATATGTTTTGATTGGCATATCATAGACATACAGGAAACCAGAAGAAAACATAGGTACAATTATTGAGAAGCACAACTTGACAAAAATAGAAAATACAGTAGCATAAAAATGAAACAATGGGAGTGAGCGAAATGGGAATATTGCCGATTCTGGAGTAGATGAAATGGGAGTAGGTGAAATGGGACGTAGGCAAAATGGTGTAGTCGCGCAAATGGAAGTAGGCCAACTGGGATGTTACCTAATCAAGACATATGTTACTAGTGGGGGTACAGCGAGAAGCGGGTAGGTGGACTGGATAAGAAGAAAAAAAGAATGATCCTAAAAAAGTAGTAACACATGGAGGAGGTGTTATAGGAGACAAAAACTGGGCAGGAGGAGGAGGAAAAATAAGAGGAGGATGAAGGGTAAGAGGGAGAGAAGGTGGAGGTAGGGTGAAGTGAGAGGAGGAAGGAGGAGGAAGAGTAGGGGAGGAGGAGGTGAGGAGAGAAAGAGCGAGAAGTGAGACAGGAATAGTACGCGGATAGGGGAGGAGCTAGAGCAACAGGTGGGTTAAAGAGGGAGAAGGGGAGAAAGAGGAGAAGAGAAATAGGAAGAGCAAGATGGTATGGGAGAAAGAGCAAGACAGGTTAGATGAGGAGAAGGAGGAGGAGGGTAAGGGAGAGGAGCAAGCAGAGGGGCGTATTAGGAAAAGGAGGAGGGTAAGAGGAAGAGGAGGGGCAGGACATAAGAGTGAGCTAAAAAAGACCTTTCATAAGATATATAATAATATATATATATATATATATATATAAAATATATACATTATATCAGGGGTTAATAATGACAAATTTTCTCATTTGTCATTATTGACACATTTGTTACGTTGTCCAATTGTCACATTTGTCATTATTAACCCTGATTATATGCATATATGTGATCGTTCCCACGCGCGCACGTACGTACGAGTGCATGCATGTCCACATACGTGTTCTGTACACATTTACATATTGTTCAGTCGTTTGCCGACATTGTCATTGAGTGCGCTGCGCTTTTGATCATGTTATGCTAAAAAGGCGCAAATATAAATAAAATAAATAAATACGTGCGAATCTCTACGGCAGATTCTGCGCGAGTCGATCGCCGACGCGATCAGGGCCGTCGCAGGCCTGCCACCGTTCTTGACGCGAACGGCGAGAAATGCGACCAATCGGACGTGTTCACCTCATCGGTTTCGCCTGAACGCGGTCGTCCAGGGGGCGCTAGCCGGCGCGAAGAAAAGCGTACGGTCTCATCGACATGTCGAAACACTCCGGTGGCAGTCGCAGCGGAACTTAATATATTATATAATATTATATAATATATAAGATATATAATATATATACATATATATATATACATAATATATTATATAAGAATATAGAGAATAATATATAATATATAATATTATTATAATATTTATATTATATAAGAGTTTGCAGTGTACATGCGAGAATCTTCTCGACAGAAGTATAACGTATAACTGGCTGAGGCCATAATAAAAATATTATTTGTTTGCCCTCATCCGACCGACCCGCCAAAAAGGGGCCAACTCGAAAATTTTTTTATTGATCTTTTCCGTTCTTTTTTTTTTACAAATTGTATCACTGTACAAATGTTATATAAATATGTAGGCAATACATTATATGTACAAAGCAAAACAAACATTCAACATAAAAGGTCTTTCCACACAAGCACACCCGAGCATGTAGACACCATGCTGAATTTGTAAAAAGACCCCCCCAAAAAAAGCCGACCTACCTACCCAAATTTTTCAGCCTGGGTCAGGTGCGGGCAAAACAAAGATTTTTTTAATTGTGGCCTGACGGTGTTCCTAGTGTAGGGTCAGAATAGACATTTCTGTGTGAGCAAATTAACTACTCCCTTTTAATATTTTTTCTAGATCGGTCAAGCTAACCTGGTTTGTATGTGTTTTTCGTGTGTGATAATCAAATTGCCGACAGCATGCCTTTAACTCCTACTCCTAACCTGGGAATGATATGATCGTTACTCCCTAGGTGTGCATCTATCAGGGAATATCACACCTTTAACTCCTTTCCTGTTAGTGACAACATCATTGCTCTTAAAGGGTGCATCTATCAAGCAGGCATGAGAATTTTCTGCGGATTCGTGGATTTCTGGGTTTTGGTTTTCATTTTGGTCATTCTTGAGATCGATGCAAAAGACGAATAAAAATTTGAAGGTGTACGTTTCTTGTCAAAATGGACACCATGTTTAATTTTAACTTCATAAAATGTCAGAAAAAGTACGTCAAATTTCACACAGAAGTGACGGAACTCCAGATAAATATCGCAGGGTATCTATGTAATTAGGGTTTTACCTTATCCTCATGCGTACCGAAACTCGTTGACAGTGGTTCATAGAAAATGATAATTCAATGAAACATTTCCTCCAAAAATATCTCAACCGGTTCTCATGCCTGATCAAGGGGAGAACCTTTCTCTAACACCTTTCATCTCTCCCTGAATGACGAATTAACGATGAATGAATTGATGACGTTGGCGTGTAACTTGTTAATTCGTTAAGAGATTAAGGCTGCCAGGGTCTATGTCTCCCCGGGTACTGGTATACCGGAACGTACCCTGGTACTATCTAATATGCCGAACCGTACCTCGCCCACTCCACTAATGAGTCTAGGGAGTCGCCTACGCCTACTCTCTAACCCTAACTAACCCTAACCCTAACCATATCAGATAGTTACCAGGGTACGTTCCGGTATACCGGACCGTACCCAGGGTACGTTCCGGCAGTACCCAGGGAGACATAGACCCTATCAGCGAGATTAAGGGCTGTTAAGGGACCTCTAGATTAACATCTTTTAAGGACACCCTACCTATAACGCCTTTCATCCCTGCATGATGAACGAATTAAGAAAGAATTAACGAGGTTGGCGTGATACTCGTTAATTCGGTTATTAATTTTTTAATTAGGTGCGCATCCTAGGATGGGAGCCTTGGACGTGTGTCCCTTCGTCCCCGTTAAGAACGCGACGATGGATGATTGCACACAGTGTGCGAAGGAATTCGGATCAAAGCTGGCTGACGAACTCGACGTGCCAGGTAACAGAAATACTTAAATACAGAGACGCCCCGACTTACGAACAGGTTCGGTTCCGAGCGGTCGTTCGTAAGTCGATTTGTTCGTAAGTCGAACATATGTGCGTACGTATACAGTATTGTACAGTAGTGTAGTATATGTACGTGTGAACATCGAGTAACCTAGAAGTGTACATAGTGTAAACATATACGTGAGGAGTTGTCGAAAGTCAAAATCAGGGGGGCGATTGTGTCTTTTTATTTACCTATATTGACATTATTCACTAATGGACTTCAGGGCAAATTGTTCGTATCATCGAAAGTTCGTAACTCGAATGTTCGTAAGTCGGGGAGTCTCTTGTTTCTGTTTGAGACTCTACTTTCTGTTCTACCTTCTATCTCTTGTCTCTCTTTACTTTCTACTATATCTACTTTGTCCTCTACACTTTTCTCGGCTCTTTACTGTCTCCTCTCTCCTCTCCTCTCTACTCTTTTATCTCACTCTCTATTCTCTACTCTCTACTCTGTTCTTTCTACTTTCTTCTCTCTCTCTCTCCTCTCCTCTCTACTCTTTTATCTCACTCTCTATTCTCTACTCTCTACTCTGTTCTTTCTACTTTCTATTCTGACGATATTTTACTATATGGTTATCGAAGAGATAATTTCAAGAGCTAATAATACCTAAGTATTATTAGCTCAGGCCAAAGCAAAATATAGCTGTGGTTACGGTTTCCCGACCGACCCTATTTATTCCCAGCGACCCTAAACATGTTATTGTCAATTTTCTTTAAAGTAAAAAAAAAAATAAAAAAAATAAAAAATTGGGCATACACAGGTGCACGATTTATCGATCGTCTACTGGCAGCGGTTGGCAGCAATACCACGTTATTGTTTTTGCCGAAGGGTAGACTGGTACCGGCTTCACGCTCCGCTAGACAATGCACACGCTCTGCGATAAACAGTGCGGCCGCGAACCAGTCTAGCCAGAGGCACCGACGGCAATTACAGAAAGGGGCAAGGCAGGCCACTGCCGTCGGTCGGGTTGGATTTTCAGGGGCAGTACGGCGATTGGTACGGCGTCGGTGCCGTCAGTTAATTCGAGCCCTGGATAGTACCAGGGTACGTTCCGGTATACCGGACCGTGCCCAGGGTACGTTCCGGCATATTAGATAGTACCAGGGTACGGTCCGGTACAGGGTACGTTCTGGCATATTAGATAGTACCAGGGTACGTTCCGGCAGTACCCTGGGGGACATAGACCCTCTCAGCTATAATAACGTTAAGGTTTGAGTTTAACGGTTAACGCTGTTCTGCTCTCTTTCCACAAAATAGAATACCAGATTAATTACTGGAAATGTGTTGACAATTACTTTTCATTCGAACAATGCAATCAATACATCATTTAGGATTAATGTAACACTGATTACTTTCACAAGTTAAACTCACGTAACCCCAACTCAACTTTAAGGTAAGTAACCACCTGAATAAACCGTAAATTCTCTCTCTGGGTGAATCACATGGGGGGCAACTCCATGGTGAAACGATCGGTTCTTGTTACATCCTAGATACAATAATGTAACCCAACAAGAGTAGGGTTACAACGCGAGCCTATTCTTTTCTTTGGAGGTTATGATGCCCTATCGGTAAATATCGGTAAATTTTCATACAAAATATCGGGAATTTCGGTAAATTCTCAGACTGATCATCACATATAGAGCTGAAATATCAATAATAGACAATTGACTCCATTTTTCTCCACTGGCCCATTGGGCTTGTTCATTTACCAGTTTCATTGGCCCCACGGAAAATTTACTGGCCTCGGATACCGGGCCAGTGGTTAATTTCGCAGACTGTGTTTAGAATAAACCCAGTTAGGCAGTTCTAGTCTCGAAAAACCATAAAACCGCCCTGAATGAATCACTCAGGGGCTCCTCCAAAGAAAAAAATAGGCTCGCGTTGTAACCCTACTCTTGTTGGGTTACATTATTGTATCTAGCTACAACCTAGTCCGAGCCCGTGTCTATCTCAATCACGGAAAGCCACCTCCAGTTTGGAGGTGCCACTTATAAGGTCAAACAAAAAAATACCTTTGGTTCGGGTCACATGGATTGTGAAAATTAGGGTAGGTAGGTAGGTATAACATTTTTTTTTCTTTTTCATTTTTTTCCTGCAAAAACATGGGTAGGCAGGAATATCATTTTTTTTTTCACAAGTTAAATATAGGGTATACAGCTTGAAATGCAAAAGCCACGAGATGCAAATGACTTGCAGTTGCAAATGACACCTGAATAGTAGTGTTAGGAATCGCTCCAAAAACGGAGCTCGATTAATCGTCCCTTTGAACGAGCGAGTAACCGAAGTGTAAACGGCTCTGCGGCCGCGTATAGCATGATAGCATGCGTATACTATATAGTACGCGATCGATCGCGTACATTCATCAAAAGCGGCCCGCTGTGGTTTTGTGTTGTTGGTGGGCTGTTTTGGTAGGTCTTGTTGTTGTGTTTTTGAATTT